TTTTCCATCCTGAGCAAAATCTGGCTTTCTTCAGATTCACCTCTGGCCACAATTCCAATGTCTTTATTTTTTGTGCTGACTTCCTTGAGTGCTCAATTCCTCTCTGTATATTCATTTCTGTCTAACCTAGCTGTCTGTAATAAGACATATCAGTATCACACAATCCTGATACGAATGATGAGAATGGCACTTTCCCAATCCCATAACCCCAGTTTGATCATGAGAAAAATAGTAGACACACCTTAACAAAATTTTATCTTTAATATATCTGAACAGTGGTCTTTGTTACTACCAAGATCTTAATAAATACGAAAGACTGAGACACTGTGACAAACCAGAGAAAACAAAGGAGACATAATAAATAGTTATGACATAGGACCCTCAACTGAATCCTGGAACAGAAAAAAAATTAGTGGAAATACTTGAGAAATTTAGAGTTTAGTTAATAATATGCAAATGTTCATTTCCTGGTTTTGATAAAGGTACCATGGCTGGTCTACGACATTAACAAAAGAGATACTTGAGTGAAGAGGAACTCTGTATTACTTGTAGCTTTTCTGTAAATACAAAATTGTTCTAAGTAATTTATTTAAAACTAAATAAATAAAAAGAAAAACTTGACAATAATGGTAAGGGGAACATCAGAGAAACACAAGAACAATTTGGATCTGCCCATTTGGGCTCTGAGAGGATCCCTCCCCACTCAAGAGTTTCCTCAGTTACCTGGTTACAAGGAAACAACACAGGCTTATTAAGCATCACTCTAGTGTGGGACTTTTCAGACTTTGTGTGCACCAGAATCACCTGGAACTGAGTAATAACTACTGGGACTTGGGCTCACTGAAGTAAATTAGCACTTGGGTTTGTGTATTTTTATGAAGTTCCCTGATGTTCCTGATAGGCATCCAAATCAAAGAACCACTGCTCTGGTGCTTTCTAGTAACATATGGGTAATATACTTCATTGATCTTCAATCACTCATTCAAAACCACTTATTGTTCTATTTCACCTTTTGTCAGTACTAAGTAGCAGACAGAGAGGAAAAGACCATCCCTTGTGGAACATATGTTTTAATATACAAATAAATGCACACGGACAAGTCTTTCCTTTCTAAGTTTTAAAGAGAAAATATGGTTGGCCTAGTTATCACTACCTTCTGTTTTAGGGAGCAGAACTTTTCCTTAAAGCTATCCCATGGGGGTACTATTCAATGTAGGTGTTGATTACTTGGAGGTCATGGGTTCCTCTACTCCATATGGCAGTGGCTGAGTGAGGTCCTATGGAACATAATAGGACCTCTCAGCAAAACAAACTAGGTTAGGAAGGGGCCGTGACATGTGAGGCCCCCTTGTCTGACCTATCCAGTGGGGTTGCCATCCCAAAACAGCAGGAGCCAAGTTTTCCTCCTCTAGTCTGGAGGCAAAGAGTAAGGCTGCACTTGTCAATATGATAAAAATGATGCTTCCATCACAAACTAATCATTTATTAGAACTCAGAAATAATGAAACCCAGAAGAGGCATACAGGTGCTTGTTTCAGAAAAAGGAATTGCTTCTGCTTTGATTTTTTTTCTTTAGCCTGTAGATATTTACTTTTGCTGGACTTTGCTTTTCTGCTGCCTGTGATGTTTCAAAATGCCAACTTGCTTGCAGCAGATTCCTAATCCAACTGAGACTGACTTGGACAATAATCTCCCTTGGGTTCCGTTCCATCATGTTGTGTTTATTTTTATTAGATTTGGCAACATCCTTTAGATTTTATTCTTTGCCCTCTGTTTGAGTATACTCTTTAACTAAAAGAGGAAAGGCAAGTGGCACCAGGAGCCAGAGCAGTGCTATTACATTTTTTCACACCCAAATCAGGTGGGCCTGATTGTACCTCACTCTTTACCAACTGCTACTTTAGAAAAAAAATTATAAAGGGCCAAGGATTTAGATCAGTGGCACGGCACCTGCCTCAAAAGTACAAGGTCCTGAGTTTGACCCCTGGCACCAAAACAATGGAGAAAAAAATTATAAGACATAATAGTAGCCACAGGGGTAACTTATTAACTGAGTCTGAAAAATAAAAAGCTTTGAAGCTGTTCATTATGTATATTCAATTCAAATCAACAAATACCACTATTGTTCTGTTCCCAACAAAAAAATTGGGGATCTAAAGATGAAAAGAAGCAACTCTTCCCTGAATGAATGGACTATAAATGGTGGAAGACAGACCTGTGATGATGAGTAAGAGGATACTCATGATGATGTTACCAAAAATGAAGGAACCAGCTGTTCCAGGAGCTCAGAGTGGGAAGAGAGTCGTTTTGAATTTAGGGACAGATAAGTAACATTTGTGATGGACCTATGGGACAGTATGGATTTTTCTAAGTAGCGAATGTAGGAGATACTGCCTGCCTCATAAGCACAAGGACTCGTGTTCAACCCCTGATACAACAAAACAAAACAAAATGGTAAATGTAGGAAATGGCATTCTAGACTGTTGTGACTTGTGTTAGATCTCCTGCCAAAATCTAAAGAGGTCATGGGTGGGGCTTTTTGAGAGGTGGCTAGATCTAGAGTGTGGGATGCTGGGTTTATTTCATGGTGCAATGCTAAAATCAAAGCATTAAGATTGGGCCAGGGATTTAGCTCAGTGGCACCATGCCTGCCTGGAAAGCACAAGGTCCTGAGTTTGATACCCCATACCAAAAAAAAAAGTTGGGGGGAGAGCACTAGAGCACTAGTATATTAAGGGTATGAGTGCTACCCATCCTAAGTAGTCTGGATAAGATAAAAAGGGCAGAAAGATGTTGTTAAGGTCCCTTGTTGCTTTGCTACCTTCTGCCCACCATGAACTGTTTCTCCTCTGTGATGCTTGTCTGCCATGTCACTCTGCCTTGGAGCCATCTGACTACAGACTTACACTTCTACAAACTGTGAGATAAATAAACCATGCCTCCTTTAACTTTGGGTGTTGGGTATTTTGTGTCAGCAACAAGAAAAATAAGAAAATGAGAAAAATGGTGGTTTGTATGGATAAAGTTAAGAGAGAAAGTAAATGGCCTGTAGAGAGAAGAAGTGGTCATGTGCTGGAACACAGCCTAGCCTTAAGGAAGGGCTAGACTTGATACATGACCCACCAAAACCCATTCCCCTGGGTTCTGTAAGCCATGGTTAGTATGAGGTGTCTGGTAAAACAAAACAAAACAAAACAAAAACATGCTCCAAAAATTTTGACCACTGAACATACCAATAGTTTGTGAAACCCTCAAGAAGAAGTTTATTAATTCCCAAATAGAATAAGAACATTATCTTCAAATCTAGTTCTTACATTCATCCCCTTGCATTATATTCATTAACATGTTGGCTTAGCCATCCAGCACTCTGATAAATGCTAGGAACATGAAGCCAGGTCCACTGCAGTCCCTGCCTTCAACGAGCCTAATAACTGGAGACTTCATTATGTATTTATTTATGTATTTATTAGCAGGACAGAGTGAAATGATTCTTTATTTTTAGGTTTTAAATAATCTTTTGTTATTAGAAAAGAGCAGTTCGTGAGCATTATATTGAACCAGCCAAAACCAAGTTAAACATCTCTGGAACACTCAGAGGTCCCCACTGTGACACTTGGTTCATAGTCTCCCACATCTTTATATGCATACATATGCACTAGTACGTATTTTGTGCTCAGCATGCACACACTGATACTTCCAGCTACTCAGAAGTCTGAAGCAAGAGGATCACAAGTTCAAGGCAAGCCTGGGCAACTAGCAAGACACCAAATCAAAGCAAAAAATACAAAGGGCTGAGAATGTAGCTTGGTGGTATATATACATATGTACTGGGGATCGAACTCAGGACCTTGCACTTGTGAGACAGGCAGCAGCACCACTAAGCTAAATCCCTGGCCCCCAAAAAAATATATTTTAAGAAAATGCTTTTATATGTCTATGGACCCGGCCTGTGTTTTGATAGATTTTTTTCAGTAATTTTCAGGGTAAGAGATGCTTCTCTTCTCATACTTAGTACATACTCAAATTTTTCCACCTGAGCCATACTTGTCTGTTATAAGCTGGGCACAGTGACACCGCTTGTAGTACCAGGTATTCTGGAGGCTGAGGTCAAACAATCTCTTGAACCTAGGGAAACCAGCCTAGACAACATAGCCAGATCTTGTCTCAAAATAAAACAAAAATGTCCTTTACAACTAATCAGCTACACTCTCCAAATTAGGTCTGTGTTTGTCAGCTTTTCGTTGCTGTGACGAAGTACCCAAGATAATCAACTTAAAGGCAGAGAGATTTATTTTGGCTCATGATTTCTGAGGTTTCAGTACATAGTCACTGGCTCTGTTTTTTTTTGGGCCTATGATGAGACATAACATAATGGTAGGTAATACCAAAGCTGCACACCTATGGAGGCTAAGAAGCAAAGAAGCACCAGGGCCCCAATATCCAGCTCAAGAGCATGCACCCAGTGACCTAATCTCCTTCCAGTAGGCCCCACCTAAAGGTTTCACTGCCTCCCAAGAGCCCACAGGCTGTTAACCAAGCCTTTAGCACTCAAGACTTTGGGTATATTTAAGATCAGAATCATAACAAGCCTCCAACTCAAGGACCTTATGTCCTCAGTTTCTCTTTGAATTAAGCGTTATCGCTTTCGTATGATTGACTTGATGAAGAGAACTGGCCGCTATCCTGAAGAAAAGTCCACTTCCTGTATTTACTGGTTCCTCGGGATGCCCTTTACTTGATCTTTTGTCCTCTGTATTTCCTGAAAACTGAAAGTTCTAACTAAAGATGTGAGAAAGGTGAGTTAAACCCTTGGGGTTAGAATACTTTCTGGGAGATAAAATGATATTCATATTGCAAAACAAAACAGACAACTTCTGTTTGAGTCACTATTAGTGATGGTCAAATGACCACTGGACAATGACAATAACTGACAGCCTTAGAGAGAGCAGATAGAAGGACAGAGGAGCAATGAAGTAGAATTAAGAGTGAATAAAACTTACCTGCAAAAAGGAGGTGCAATGGGGACTCGAGCAGCCCTGAATAGGGGTTCACCAAGGAAAACAAATCTTGCTTCCCACTCTGGTGTATCTCTGATTGTGACCGACTGCTGCTCTGATGTTCTCACAATCTGAGAGGAGAGGGAAAACAAAACCAAAAAAATATATAACTTTGGTGGATATTCAGGACCCCGTGACTCTTTGGGACACCAGTTTTATAACGCAAACGTTCCCTTTATAAAAGTGAGCGCACCAGCATGGTATTCAGCCCACAGAAAGCGAGCCAGTAGTATTATTCTCAGATGTAGAACCTGGGACAAGTCCTATAAACCTAGGGCTCTGTAATCGCTTCCTTTCTTTTCAGCAACAGTCCGCGCTCTGCCTTTGGCCACCAGGGGGAACTACAATCGAACAACTATTCTTTCCTTAGAGTGAGAACGCGCCTCGATAAATCATGACCAAGCCAGGGTCCCGTAGCAAGGTGTTCAAACTGAGGAAGCGTATTTCCGCTTTCTCGCGAGCACACCTAGGCCCCGCCCAGTCCTCCCAGCCCCGCCCCGCGTGCGCTACGGCCTGTCCCGGTGGCTCGCGGCAGGTGGCGCTGTCTGAGGC